GATCTGCCTTAAGATAGAGCCTTTCTACATTTCCAGTGAAAGGAAAAGCTGCAGTCAGTACTCACAAGCAAGCATGTGATGTGAACCTGCAGGAAATCAGGCTTGATTAGTTCCAGTGCTTGGGCAATTGCCTTTCTTCCCATTCTTCTCTCCTATTTCTCTCAGACTCCCTCAGCAGAGGGGAGAAATAATAACATTAGAAGACAGCTTTTGAGACTAGAGCTACATTTAGAAGTGAGATCTCTTGTTTCTAGTCATTGTACTAGCTATTTGAACTTAGGCTGCAATGAAATGGAACTGCAAGGAAGAAATGCAGATAAAGCCTAATAAGTAGTAAGCCTAATGTACAGGCCTTTGGCATTAGGTGAAAGTTGTGCACTGTTTAAAAGTTGCAAAAAGTACTGTGATTTCATTTGTGAAATACTTAAGGTGGAATGGAATTTTATGGCAAATCCAGAAAGGTTTTTGTGTTTTAGCAACAGGTGTTAGCTTTCATCTCCTGGTATTCCTCTGTACAGTAAGTCTCCCAGACTTCGTAATCAATTCCTCCCGTCTGAGTGTTGTTTGGGAAAAAAAAAAAAAAAAAAAAGATGGAAAGAGGAGAGATTGACATCCCTTAGTTATGCTGATCTTAATAGAATTATGTCCTATTACAAATTCTACTGGCCATCAGTAGACCAATGTGAGCTTTCTTGGTTTTCAGATATTTAGCCATTTTTGATTGTGTTGTATATTGCTGAGACACAGAGTGCTATAGGGCATTTCCTGTAACCAGAGGCCAATAAAAGCAAGTATTCCAAACTGAATAAACATGTGCAAAAACAAATAAATTAAGTACTTTTTTGTCCTTTTCCATGTAGTTATTGAAAGGAAAGGACTGTGCCACACTTTAAAAATTCAGAAAGAGAATGAAACCAAGCTTGCATAAGCCTGCGTACAGCACACAGATGATTTGAGAAGGATGCCTAAGAATGTAATGGCATCTTCTGACTAAAGGCAGAGTGCTTGTTTTGTGATATATGGATTTGATGATGAAAGAGTTACAAGAAAGAAGAATGACTTTCTCCCTCTGTATTAATGAGAGCTGAATTTCTACCTGCTATGAATATTGTTCACTGTCTTGTTGCAGCCTAAGAGTTTTAGTAGAGGTGAACTTTTCACCCTTGAAATTCAAAGCTTAGCTTTGAAGAATTATTTTACCTATTCTCCTTGTGAAAATATTGTATGCATATATGCATGTCCACTGTGTGCTATGCCATAAGCACTGATAGTCTTGACTAGTGGTCAGGAAATAAACGATAACTGATTAGGAGAATCTATGTTAATACATATTTTTTCCATGTATTCTCATGTGTATATGTGTATACCCACACATAACTACACTACTAACCTGACCTGAATTTTCACATACTATCCTGTAATTTGTTGCACATAGACAGAAATTTATGTGAAATAAACTCAGAAGAGTCTTAAAACAACACACTATATTTTACATTGCAGATAACAATATTCAGCTATTCCATGATGTCCTGAGGATTTCCTGGAAAATGTGAGAGAAATTAAACACTGATGTTGTAGACTTTGTGCAGTAGCACAGCTCTGGAGAATGCTAAGGTGATGGCAAACTGTCACACATTCGAATGCAAGCCTACAATGTAGTCTAATTTAAGTTCACTGGGATTTATATACTTGAAGCTGAACATATGTGTTTGTATACAGTCCCATCTGCTAGAGGCCTCCCTCTCTCTCCCTTCCTCCCTCCTTCTTCTTTGGCACATGCAATTGAAACTACTTCTAAAAGTTGCCTAGAAATTGAGCAGAAATATTCTAAGCTAGGGAATATGCTTTGCACATGAGCTACTGACTTGCCTTTGACTGAGCACTGTGCTTCCACCACAGCATGGGTGTTTTTCAGGTGGGCTTGTGAGGCTGCTTGAGAATCACTACTCTCTTTTTTCCACTGCTGTTCCTCAGCCTTGCAGTTGAAAAAGCATTCTCAATATAGTCTTGCTTCATTTTTTCAGTCTTCCTTGGCTATTGGCTACTCACCGAAGCAAAATACCGGGTCAGGTGGATTTTTGGTCTGATGTGTTTGACCATTCTTATGTTGTTTTTTGTGTCTGTGTGTTGAATTGCATCACCATCAGTGAATAGGATTTTGTGTTGCTTTGTCATGACACCTCTTAGAAGAGTCTTGAGGTTCAGAAAATTAAGTTTTGCATGAAACTCTGTGTTCCTTAGGAACCCAGAAAGAGAGTGTTTCCCTTGAGCTTGTAATTTGCTGTAATTGTGGAAATCCTTAAGTGAATAAACATATGAATAAAATGTGAAGAAAATAAGTAGTTACAATTTCAAATACTTGAAAACAGAACACCTGATGAAGGGTTTATCTTCTAAAAAAAAGCTGCTTCTCTATTTCACTTGAGTGTTTCACTAGTTTAAATACCAGTAAGAACAGTGTAAGTCTTTTGCTTTAAGTCTGTTAAGTCCTTGCTTACAGCACTCAGTCACAGCTAGATCCTTATTGGATATACTCTCTCCTCTACCGCATGTAAATTCATGATAAACAGGTTGCTGTGGTCGTTTCCCCTCTCAAACAGTATACAAGTTAATGCTTCCTCTTGCAAACCGCTTCTCTTCCTTTTCCCAGAAACAGTGAGCAACTATGTTGAATGGATTTCTCTACAAAGGTTATTTTACAGGTCAGGAGGTTAGCTTACTTTTGTCTTTTTAATTCATCCGTTTCAGAAGAAATCCTCTGTGTGTTCTCCTTCATCATAAAGGCTGGTGAGAATGAGAAGCCTAACTCATCATTAATCCACAGGCAAAGTACTATTCAAGCAGCTGTAGTGAAAGCTCTCGTACGCTGCCCTGGAAATAACCCCAGCCTTGACGTGGTAAAATGACCCTAGGTAAGGTCAGAAGATCAGTTCTCATTTTCATTTAAGCTTCTGGTTTTTAAACTGTGTTTGGAATTGTCTGTTGTGGTTTAGATGATTTCCTAAAACAGATGGATCCTCATAATGTGGAGGAGTGAAGTTCAGAGAGACTGAGGTGAATTTGAATGATCTGTTTACACAGTGTAAGAAATGGAAGCTCATGGCTGGGATTTTCAGGAGGGGCCTAAGGAAGCTGGGTGTCTCTGCCCTGATGGCCTGAATACTAACTGAATATGGCATTTAAATGAGCCTTAGGTCAAACCTCTTTCAAAGTCTTTGAAAATCCTGCCTGTACTAGCCTACCGCGTGCATTGGGGTCAACGTGCGTTGCAGAATATGTACTAGAATTCAGTGATTTTGTGTATAATCTGTCTATTTAGATAAAATATGTATCTAAAGAGTAAGACTGTGTCTTCCCCATCCAACCTACATAACATACATAGTCCAATGTGTAAACTGGCACAGAAGCAACGTGAACGGAACACTCTACATGCAAAGCAGCACTTTCTTATCCTATTACAAGGGGGGAAAAATGAAATCAGCCAGCAGTATGGGCAGTAATTCTGACTTAAGGCCTGTTACTAATACAAAAGGTCTGCTAAGTAGTACTTACAAACACTCATTCTGTATCTCAATTATGACAATTCCAGAAAATAGAATTAAAAAGAATTGTCCCCAACGCAAATTGAAAAATATAGCTCTCCAAGGTCCAAGATAACTGAACTTCAGTAATCTTAGCACACTCTTTAGTGACAACATCTAGGAAATATTAGTAATATTATACTTGTATGTGAGGCTTTCTAATTAAAAATTATTTATTTCCAATTTAGTCACATGTTCAATTAAAAATGGGGCTTAGTGTCTTCTGACCATTATAAGAGTTAACAGGGAAGTGAACTACGTAGATTTATCTATGCAATATGTATTTATCTTGAAATAACACTAGCATCTAAACTTCTTGGATGCATCTTCCTATAGTTACAAAAGTTTTTCCTATGCTGACAGTATTTACTTAAGTACTTACTCTTATGTGCTGCTTCTAATTTATGCCTAAATATGTCTGCTAGGAGTAACCAGATGTGCTAACAACTGAGAACTTCCTTCTTTTGATGTAATTTTGATGTAATTTTGATCCATGCTTTGTTCTTGTATGTGAAACCTATTGAATAGGTTTATTGCAAGTATTTTGTCCTGTGATTCTATCACACTTATTTGCACCAGAAAACTTTCCTGCTTCCATCTAGAACTGGGATTGTCCAGAATAACAATGTCCATTCCACTTCTGACATTGTATCCATAGTGACAGCTCTTTTATTTTGCATACTCTTTATCACATAATCCCAGTTTAGCTTTTTACTCATGTATATTGACTTGAATATGCATGATGGCATAAGCGAGTGCTTTAGATGTGACACTGGACTGAAGGAAATTTTAATTCCTTATTATTTCAGTTATTCCTTCTGAGGAATTGAAGTTTCAGTATGTTTCACAGATGAGAGTAATTTCTGTATGACCTTGTTGAGATGGATGGTATATGCATCTTCAGTAACATGGCTCATGCCTATTGAAGATGGGAAAAAAATGGGTGGTTCTTTAATGGAAAGTAGCCTTAGGCATTTAAATCATGTGATGAGAAAGCTGACTTTGTCCTGAGTATGCAGTTAAAGACTTTCATACCAGTCCAGGTGTCAGTGACACAACACCGCCACCATGCAGCGAGTGGACAGATATCTGAAAATGTGCTAGCCCTTCCGAGTTCCAGCAGCCCTTCCAGAGCTGCATGCAATACTGCATTCACTCCAGGTGAGTCCTTTGCATGTTGCATTTCCACGAAGGTTATTTTTTGCCTTCAATTATAGTTGTTCATCCTAACCACGGGGACAATTAATAGAAGAGAGTTAAAACTGACTCAGAGCTTAAATTATTCTAATTTTCTTTTAATTTGGGAAAGAACAACTAAAATGCAAAATGTATTCAATACAAAGATAGCAGCATAAACTGCTTGCCTCTTTTCTTTAGAAGTGCTAACGCACTATGACGTAAAGCTGATGGTTGGAGGGTAGGAGATAGCCTGTAACTTCACATGGTCCTAGTTAAAATGCTCTTTGAGGCATTGGCAGTTTATAGGAACAGTGGTATCTCTTGGGTTCCAACTGCAGTCATTGTTACAGTGCTTACAAAAGGAGACACTACTGGCAACCATCCTCAAGCTGTTGTTTTTATTCCTAGGACACAAAATGAGCTTTTATAATAGAATCAAGGGCATGGAAATAACAAAAACTGCAGACAGAATCGACTTGCAGTGTTCAGTAAGGTAAGAAGATAACATCATAACACTTTGGAGCAGACAGCTTCAAGTTGGAGCTGAATCAGACATTCTCAGTGGCTTGCTTTAGGAACAATCTTCAAACAGGATATTATTAATTCTTACATTTCATTTTGTATTTTTGTCATTTATGGTTTTAGAGTAAGAAGCCAAGATAGTTGATTCTAGTTGATTCTTATTGTGTTTCTGGAAGATAAGATAATGTGTTAGAAAAGGAATCAGAATCAAAATTCTTCACTTCCTCTCTATGCAACCATCCTCCTCCCCAATAATTTTCTATAAGGATGTGACTAAAACCAAAGCACTTACTGATAAATTACAAAGAAAGAGTGTCAAGTTGGTGAAGCCAATGGGAGGTGAACATGCAGTAGGGCAAGATGTTGCTCTGGCTCATACTACATTGTGGCTTAATCTCATTGCTTTATGGGCACTGCTTGTGAGTCTAGTGGCTTGATGGAGGGCATGGCCTTTATTGGAAGGCTTTACAGTACCTTTTTGTGAACCAACAGCTTGTCTAACCTGCCATAAATTAAATGTATGTAGCATGTGCTTTAGCATTGATTGAAGAAATTGCACTGATGTGCGCAAATGATAAGTAAAAGTGACTGAAAAATGAGAATCTACAGTCAGTGACCTGGCAGCATGGTATATGAGTATCTTTCTTCTTCACCAAGAACAGATACCTTATTGACTGCTAGTAGTGAGAGGAGCACTAGCATCATGTGTATGTATCTGTACGTACAATGAGATTGCACAGCACCCCGCATTCCAGAAGGAGTGTAGGTATAAAAGTGTAGATCAGGACTTCTACAACTAGAAAAACGCTCATAAAAATGAGCATGGTTAGCACGCAAGTTTCTGTACCTCCAGTGCACAGGTATAATTTAAGTAAATCCTTATGCATAGGCAATTATCTAGGGTTTTAAGGCAGAGCGGGTGCAAACCACACATTAAGTGCACCAACTATACAGGACGATACATTATTTTCCATCTGTACTTTCTTCTGGGGGCTTAAGGAGAAGCATTTAATGGGCTTTTGGCCCTATCAGAGTCTGTGCTACATGTGAGGGTCGCTGCCTCAGCACTTCCAGGAACCTCTTGCAACACAAGAACCACTGGTTTCTGTATCAGTACCACAGAATATTGAAAGTGTGGTCTTACTGGAACTTATTTTTAGAATGATTTATGGGCATTTGTTTATTCATTTCTTTTGAGAATTTGAGGTAGTTTTAATTGAATTTTGTTTGGCACACATCATTTCAAAATTAACCACCTTAAAATAAGAACAGCTTTATGGAATTTATCTATTATACAAAGTTGTCACAAGCACTGCCTCTTATATTTCTAGTACTACTTTATTTTTCATAACGTATTTTACAACTGTAATTTTCATGTCTCACATTTTTCTCTCCAGTTTCCTATGTACTGTGGTTAAAGTTTGACCATAAATCTTACACTGCTTTGTTAGAAATAATAGGTCTACTATGTTTCTTCATTTAATGATCTGCTAGATTAATAGTGTCTTTAAAACAATTAAATACAGTCGCATGGTTTAATATTCCCAATTTTAATGCACCGTGAAGGAGAAACTATAGCCATTTTCATTTATAAAGTGCTTTTATTTCAAGGGCTGTCTGGTAATTCTTGTCTGACACCCTGACTGAAATCTCTTTCCTATATTTCTGTGGTAAACAGATAAAAAGTGTAATATCCAAAAAAGTGTTTTGTGCAGTTTTGGAAGCCAAAGCACGGAAGTGACTGGATGGTAAATTAAGCTGTAACATTAAATGTGGCATCTCAGCAAAAAAGGGTATGAAACTGTGGGCTGCATGACGAGAGCTGTCATATTGAGGAGGCAGAGAGGAGGCAGTTTTCTGGATATTAATGTCAAGCACTCCTGCACTGTGGTAGTAGCAAGGTCTGGAGCCGCTCAAGGCACCTTCGTTATCTGAATGACACTGACAAATTGCTGGCAGAGCAGAAAAGATGCTGCAGCTGTGACCTTGCTGCACGAGGACAGTTGTACAACTAATTGCAGAAACATGCGGCAGGAGATGGGTTCCCAGTTAAGAACATAACATTTGGTTCTTGTGTGTCCGGGCTTTTGGGGTTTGTATTTCATAGTAGTACAACTACAGCCCCTAGACTGAAAGGTCTTTGTGCATGGCCCTTTTATTGTGTGCGCTCACAATGCCTGCTACAATGGGACTCCGGCCCATGAATAGGACCTCAGGCATTACTGAAATGCAAATAGTAACGAATTTTAAAAATGAGACGCAGACCTTTTCAGATGTATCCTGTCCTAAGAAACTGATTTGTATTGCCTTAGGTTTAGAGGTTGTGCTGTAGGCCTCCTGCATCTCTAACTTGAAAAATTAAAACTAAGTTCTACTTTTCGTTGAGCAGTCTGTTAGCAGACTGAAAACTTGGCCAGCTTGATGCTGTGCTTAGGTTAGAAAAATGTATCCACAGGCATTTTGCTTCCATAACAGCACAGTCCCACTCTCCCATTTCACTGCCAGGCTAAGGACCAAGCCCATTGGTTACATGTGGATCAGGGCATGCCTCATAGAAAATGAGAATCCTATTCCCGATGTTTCGATCCTTAGAAGAAATGAGACTTTGACAGCAGAGCTGAATTTCAGCACAGCTGGGATCTAGACATGAAGTACAAACTCTGTTTTTAACAGTGAGGCTGAAAAGAGTCCAAGCATTGCATAAGGGATATTGACCTTAAGTTTGCACTAGGTGGCCAAGAAGGTAAGTGCATCTCTACCTACCTTCTCTGACTGGCTTTGTGCCTTCTTCTGAACCAACCTGCAATAACTCATGCTCAAGAAAGATGTCCTCCATGGCCCAGTGCAGCTTGTTTTACCCCGGCTGATCTTTAGTGATGTGTCTATCTCAGAGAGAATAGAATTAATGCATTCCAAATTGGCCACTACTGAGGAAGGTCATGAAATTACAGACTGGCAAAGAAAACTGTAAATCAGAAACTCAATAAATTATAATGTGGGAGAAAAGCTTTATTCCTAAGTATCAGGAAACATCACTGCAAAAATTTGTATTAAGCAACATCTGCACACATGATTGGTGAGGAGTATATGATTTGACTAGACAATGGAGGATTTATTCATGGATGTTGTAGTCAAGTTTACTAGAGGCTTGTCTCAAAATATGTTTATGTGGAAGTTGGTGTTGAATAAGACAAAAAAACTCCAGTTAATTTCTCAGTTTTGTGTGGGGAATATTTTTCTTTAACATTTCTCTGAGTTCTTGTTCCAATTAGTACTTCCTTTGAAATTGTTTTGTTGCAGGCTCTTCTGCTGTGAGAAAAATGGAGACTTCATAGAAACTGTGTCCCCGAGCCCTTTGAATCAGGTAATGTCACATCTAACTTGCAATACTGAGTGTTAGCTCCCATAAATATTGTTCCTGCTATTTAAATACTGCTGCATTCTTCACTGTACAGAACCCGGCCCCGTGCAAAACCTTTTAGACTTCAGCATTTCTTTGCTTCAGGGCCTAACCTCAAGTTCATAAAATATTTGTAGCTGTCAGCCTAGCGCATCCACAGAAACTGCACAGATGCAGAAAGCCTATCTGATGTAGTGTTAGTAAGAATAATTTTAGAATTGCAAATATTTAGCAGGTTTTTAACAGATACATATATATACACTTACATATGTAAGTGCATATATTATATGGCATATATATTAGGCAAAGTATACATGAGAAAATCCATGATTGCTTTGATGATGGCACATCCAAACTGGGCTGTTAGCAATGAAAAATGTCTTTAACATACCAAGACAGTACTTGAACATTCAGTTTGTGATGCTCGTTCTTGTTTCATATTGAAGGTAGCTGATGAGACATGTCATTTTAACACCTTATTACTGCTCTGTTATAATTCTGCCAAGCCTTGATTCTTTGCTTTCAAAAGCTACAGAATAGAATATCTGCCCTGGCCTCCAGATCTGTCTTTTGTATGTTTTTAGCTAATTGGAAAAGTGAAGCCACCTAGGAACTAACACAGCTTTATTGGAAGACTGTGGTTATGATCACAAAATGCATGAGGTTTGGTTCTTGGTATGCGTTGTGTTGCTGTGTTCTGCACTTGGCTACTTGCTGTGCTACTCAGCAGTGCCCATCCAATGCCTGGAGGACAGGGGGAAATGAGGAAGAGCCTGGCTTGGAACTTGGGAGTGCTATATTAATATTAAATGTGAGAAAGAGAGACCAAGTCATGAATTGTGCCTGTAGTTAGCTTGTGTGAAGCACTGCCTAAGTGCAGAATACTGTTGGTCCTTCGTTTCACTGCAGAAAACAAATTCTGGTGTTCAAATTCTAGATAAACCCTCAAGGAAATCAACACTATGGTTCTCAGGATTTGAATAATGTACAATAAATAAGGCCTGAGGTCACATAATGAACGTCATGAAGGGTAATAAAACATGGAATAGCTGACGGCATGCGTTCTGTGCGCTGCATGAGGAAAGAGTCTGTGAGAAGAATGGTGTGTTATCAAGTGACTGCACTCAGTGCCTCAGTTCAGAAGCAGGGGAAAGATAGTGTCAGCTGGTGTTTCTTAACTGACAATTACAACTGACAATTTTAACGTATAATTATGTAGTTAGCCTTTACAGGACCGCAGCTCTTCTGATTCTGGCCTTTCCAAAAATTGGCTCATGTGCAGTGTGCCACTGCCCAGTGTTACAGCATGCTGGTCGGAACAGGCTGTTATGTATGTTGTGTGCGCAGAAATGATCTTAGTAATAACAGGTATTAGATGCAGGCATTTCTGCTTTCTTAGAGGTTTTTTCCTCCCTTATGAGACAAGCTGGCGGAGTTCAGGGCTATGATTTACATAGTCAGGACTTCGCCGTACACTGAGGCTGCAGCTCTCTCAAATGCTGCAGTGGGGCAACTTGGCTTTAGAAGAACCAGTATTTTCTTTTTCATTTTGAGGTGATGGTTTCTAACAAACAGTTTCGCTGACAGTGGTGATGCAGTGGCACGGGCTGTGCGGGGAGGTGGTGCAGTCACCATCCTTGGAAGCGTTCAAGGAGATGTGGCAGCGAGGGATGGTGGTCATTGTGGATGGTGGATTGGACGTGGTCTTCAGAGGTCTTTTCCAACCCTAATGATTTTGTGATTCTATGAGTATGGACAGGCTTTCAAGCATTTGTTCTGAAAGCTTCTGGGTAGCAATGGTCTGCTTGTTTGTGCTAGGCGAAGGCCAACCGCGGCTCATTTGGGCCGCTTCACGTGAGCACAGAAAGTAGGAGATTTTATGCAGAACGTCCAGCAGAACAGTGGGATTTCAGTTTGCACATTTCTGCATTAAGCATGTCAGGTTACACGGGATAATCCTCATCCTGGGGAAATTCAGTCATCTTTTTGAGTCCTGCTGCAGTGCAGGAATGCGGGAGCGCTTTATCCCCCTGGATATTTGTTTACAAATAAAAAACGTCCATAAAGCTTTTCGCTCGCTTCCCCCCTTGGGGATACCCCCGCTTGTGCCTGTTCGTAGCTTCTCATTGCTGAGCCTCAACGGCGTCACGTCTGCTAGGCGAACGTACGGGAGAGGAGAGAGGAGAAAGGAGAGAGGAGAGCCGCCGGCGGGATCTGCGCGGGGAAGGCGGCCGGGAGGGGGTTCGGGTTTCCACCCGGGCCGGGACGCGGCTCTCTGTGGCGCGGGGCCGCGGCCCCGTCAGCCGTTGGGGCGCTGCCGGGGGCTCGCGCTGCACCTGCCCCGCGCCCGCTCCCCTCGGCGGCGCGTCCTTTGCGAGCGGGCGGCCGAGCCCCGGGCCGGCCCAGGTGCGGCTCCGGCTGCCGGCGGCCGCTGGCGGCGGGGCGGCCCTGACGTCGGTGTGCCGAGCCGTGCCGAAGGCGGGGCCGCGCCCGGGGGCCGGTGCGGCTTTATTAGCGCCGCAGGTCGCGATGCGTGGCGCAGGCAGGGCGCAGCGAGCAACAGGAGGCGGCGCGGTCGCTCGCCGCCCCACCGCCGCCCGCGCCCAGCCCGCCCGGCCGCCGGCCCCGGGGCGCCGGCGCTAGCGGGGTGCTGCAGCCCGGGGACGGCCGAGACGGGGGCTCGGAGGGAAAGAGAGCCGGAGCAGAAGGCGAAAGGAGGAGGGCAGGAAGAGCGCGGCCGGGGCCGGGAGCGTGCGGTCGCGCGGGGCGGCGGTCCGCGGGCGGCCGGCTCGTGATGGTGCTCCCGCCCCTGTGGCTTGTGGCAGCCGCGCTCCTGGGGGCCCGCGCTGCGGCCGGCCGGCAGGTGAGTGAGCGAGACAGCGAGCCACCGGCTCCGGCGCTCCCCTTCCTTCCCTCCCTCCCTCCCCTCGGCCGGGAAGGCGGCGGAGCTGCAGAGTTCGCCCGCTGGGTGTAGCGCAGCCCCGGCCCCGCGCTAGTGGCTGCTGACCTCCGCCTGCCGCCCCGTCTCCGCTCCGTGGCGGAGCGGCGAAGGAGCCGTCCGCTCCGTGCTCCCTGCGACTCAGCGCTCGGTCACTCGCAGCCACCCGAGGGCCTTTCTTTGGGCACCGGACTCTCGCTTTCTGTGTGTCCCGGTAGATAGAAGGGGTCGTTCTGAGTCAGGGTTTCCTAGCTCCTCTATTTATATTAAACTTACTAAGGGCTCTCTTAGTTCGTTGCCGGACACAGCTGTTTGTTCAGCTGAGGAAAAATGCCAATCCTGGAAACCAAAAGCAGAGATGTAAAAAGTGGTGCGATGTGAACTGAGGGATTTTTCAGCCTTCTAGAAACAGTCGGCTGTCACACGTTGCATAGTAATTACACCAGTTACACTTTGTGCATGTGTTTCTTTTCTCTCCTGCAGGCTGGTGAAGAACAGCAGGTCCAAATAGGTGAGTCTCTTTAACTGTTATTTTAAAAAGGTAACAACAAACTAGTTTATTTTCTGGAAAAATGGTCTGTGCCCAGGAAAGCATTCCCCTGTGTCCCCCCACACTGTTACCACCCAGAAGCATTTGTGGTTTCACAGTGCTGTGGCATGACTTGGATTTGCATGGCCTCTCATTTCAAGCTCTTTCATCCCGTTAACTCTGTACATCCCTTTTTAAAAATAAAACAAAGTTCAAAGCTGCAGCGTGCTTTAACCAGTCCTATGAAAGTCATGGCAAATCTGCACTGGGTCAAATGCTTTGTGTTCGTTTGTGCGTTGCTGAACCAAGCAGTTAGCCAGGGAAAGTCATATCTTCGTACCACTTTTCTTCTGTCCTGAAAGTGTTCAGCCTTTTCTTCTAATGCAGCCTTTTCTTGTCTAATGCTGAGATCTCCACCTATTTCCTTTATGGAAAGATGCTGCATGCCCAGTGGGTTTCCACTGCTGCATTATGAACTGATACACCCACATCAGAAAGTATAGCGCGGCAAGATCAGCGTCTGTGATGAATGAGGGTGCTGAAATGAACCAGGGTACGTCATGCTGCAATCTGAAGCCCGACTTTTTCCTAAGAGAGATGGGAAGCTTCATATAATTAGGAGCATGTGCGCACAATCTAGTTGCTGTAGCTCTGCACTGATTTAAGCTGACAGATAATTTGGTGCCAGGTGGGGTGGAAGAGGTTGTGGAAGGATGCAAAAGTCAGTGTCCTCTCTCCAGAGCATCAGTGTGAGACTGCCATCTCTCCTGCCCTGTGGTTCTGAGGGCAGCTCTGGAACCGGCTCACCACAGTTGCTGATGAGTGCAACAAATGAACACAAAGCCCATATGATGCTCTGGAGCTTTTCAGTAAGGAGCAGTAGCACCTATGAAGTCTAGGGATCCTATGCAGTTCTGTTTCCAGTTGCCATTAGAGCTTTAATTTTTGAGGTTTCATTCTGGTTTTGACCTGCAGTTTTGTTCAGAAAATAGTTTCTGGTATTTCTTTAAATTTTGGAGCTCTTGTCTCAGTTTCAGTCCTGGCACTGTGTTCTTAAAGGCTTAGGTTGATTTCCACTGTCATCAGTGAATAATGGGATTTGAGACAGTTAGGTACATTTAAACCTAGCTGGCAAATAGACTTCTTTTTTCCAGTGGCATTTCAGTGCTTTATTTCTGGTTGTTTCCTTGAGAAATGGATTGTATTTCAATTTCAGAAGCCATAAGCTATACATGAATGCATCATTTAAATTATACAATATGTCAGACAATTTCTTGAGCCTAGAGGAGAACTCTTTTTCCTTTCAGTTTTTTCCTTCTTTTGTGGTCTCAATGTTGGTGTAGCCAGGGAGGGTTTGAGGCATGCAGGATCCATGGGACAGAGGTGACACACAGCAGAGGGTGAAAGAAGGCCCCTAAGCAAAGCCTCCCAGGATGGGGCTGGGTGGCCCATGTGAAACAGGCTATCTACATGGCTTGTAGCCCAGCTGTAAGTGATTAAGGGAACGAAGCACTGGAATAGGTTGCCAGAGATGTGGTGGGTGCCCCATCCTTGGAGATATTCAGGGTCAGGCTGGACCAAGCTCTGAGCAACCAGGCGTACTTGTAGGTGTTCTTGTTCCTCGCAGGAGAGTTGGACTAGGGGACCTTTAAGGGTCCATTCTAATTCAAATGTTTCTGTGGTCTCAGATGGAGATGGGCAGGGTATGAGCTGATGGTTCTGTCTGCTCACAGACTCACAGGACCATGTGTGCAGTGTCACCTCGTGTCGTTCAGCAGCGCATGGCCCCTTGGCGTGAGACTCAGTGTTGGTTGGTGCCTGCCAAAAGCGAGCTTGTGTCTCCTTGGCACAAATGCACGGTGTCCTGGTGGTATTTTGTTTGGCCTGGCAAGACTGAGAGTTAGCTGTCTGACCAAACCAGGTTGTCTGTGCTAAGCTCTGGCTTTTGAGGGATTGGTAGTATTTCACTGAGGGGAAGTCTGTATTTTCAAAGGAAAAAATACCTAGTAAACACAGATCAGATTTGTCCTTTCTCTTTTTTAAATTGTTAATATTTCAAGTAATGTTTTATCCTGTAAATTCTGTTTGGGAAAGGTATTGCCTACTCAGTTTAGAGCTTTAATAACTACAGTAAAACTTGCATTAGGATTGCCTCCAAATGGGCTGTCCTACTTTTAAGTCCTTATTAAGTGTCACTTTGCATTGGTGTTGTGTATTTTGATTTGGCCCAGGGCTGGCTGCTGTCAACAGCTAATTTTTTTTTTTTTTTTTTTTTTGTAGTCTCGAAAGTCACTTAGGACAAATTAAAGCATATAGGATTTTTTTTTAAATACTAGTACAGAATATACTATATAGATAGGGACTTACTGTATCTTAATTAACCACTTTAATGCATAATATGCTATGTATTATATATGCAAAACCTGAAACTGTGAAAAGGAAATCATGCAGTTGCTTGTGAAATAGTAAGTCTGAATTTACTGGCACTCAGGGTGGTGCTGCATCTTCACTTTTCGTGTCTCTCAGCATCCACACAACAGAACATTAGCATTTTATGCTGCCATTGGGAGAAAACTCTGATATCTAACCTGGGAAGAGCAGCATTGGGCTGCTACAGAGCCTGGATAAAATAAGCTCACCAGTGTTATGCAAGGTAACTTTGCAGTTTGAGAGGGGCTGTGGAAACATCACAAAATTTCTTGAGTTTCTTGTGTGCCTGGGACAAATCGACAGTGAAATAAAGGAATGAGGACACTGAAGAGAGGTGTGTATATAAATATCCTGTGTTCCTGCAGCCCCTTGTTTTTATTCATCCAGCTTGCAGTGTCTAGCACTGAGGTATGCTGCACAGCCTCCTCCCTGCTTAGGTGCAAAGTTGTGTGGAAATCCTCTAGAAATCCACCCTGCCATTGGGTGCACATTTTTTTTCTTTGCATAGTTCCCAGCATAGCATCATCTTTGTAAAAACAGTCATGCTGATGATATAATTCTGGAGATTTACACACAGGTATTCCTAATTAGAGTATATATGCCAGCAATCTGATGAGGCAAATGGTTACTGCGTGTAGGAGTTAATTCACATTTCATTGCCACGGAATTGGAAAGAAATTGTGATGCCAGCGCTTAGTGAATGTGATTTTGCAAGTCACTGTAAAGGGTGAAGGAGCTCCTGCGATCAAAAAATTACTTTGTTCGGGGCTAGTGGTACTCTGTCTGCAGTGCAGAAGACTGGAACGTGGGAGGTCTAGTGATAAAAATTCACGTTGCTTTGAAAGTATTGCTTCTCACTTATTTTCATGGAAATTAGAACATATGTGAACAGCGCAATAGTGTTATTTGATAGAGCAAATTGTCTGCTGCAAAACGGTATCTTTCAACACAGTTGCCACCATTAGCTCTATATTTTTTGTAGGCAATCAACAAGAACCTGCATGCCACGCTCATACAAATCTGCACCGGTAGAGGTGACACACTGTTTCAAAGCTGCTGTGACAGCATCACTACTGGGAAAATGTTGCCTGCTCGGTCCATCTTTTATTGGCTTGATCAGATGGAAGTCAGAAGGTTCAAAATCCAAACTATACAGTGGGTGTGATAGGACCTTTCAGCCAGGATTGTCACTGTCTTGAAGCTGGTATGGGCCTGGTGTTACCGTACTGCAGGAGAAAGGTTGTCCTCTTCTCTGGCCTGCCTGGAAGTGTGAGCGCTCAGCTTAGTCAGCACTGCAGTAGTCATAGCTGATGGTTTGTCCAGTTTCTGGGGAAGCCAGAAGGCCCTTTGCTGTCCCACCAGACAGTGCACGTCACTTCACCTGCTGAGGGCTGCTTCGTGAACTTTTTCTTCCATGGGGAATTCAAATGTTGCCACTCCTTGGACTGCCATTTTGATGCCAGCTCATAGTGGTGACACCATGTCTCATCACCGGTAATGATGTGATTGAGGGAACTGTCACCTTCAGCCCCGTGTTGGTTCAGTTGGTCCTGATAAACGTGCATATGGTGTGAGCATCTGTGGGACCAATCTGGAGCAAACACTGTGGTATTCCAACATTGCCACCATCATTTCCAACACATTGAAACTGATGTTTAGCTCTGTATGCGGTTCCCTGGTCACAATCCACCAATCAGTGTGGATGAGCTGATTGAGATGCTGTTCATTTCATGGTGTGGCAGTGATACGTGCCCGCCTGGAGTGCGGCTTGTCTTTCACAGCACTGTTGCCACTGCTGAAATGCACCAACCACTGCCATTCTGTGCTCACATCCACTGGTTGGTTTCCATCAACATTCAAGTGTCAATGAATGGCAGTGGATGCTACTGTTTTGTGTGGAGGAATTCAGTGTCATCCCTTTGCTGCATATGCACTTCCATGTCAGATGCCATTGTGTCACACTGCCCCTCAGCTGCCATCTGTCACACAGCAACAGCATGTAATGAAGTATTGATAGAAAGGTTCAACTTATGCTGCTGTACCTCCAACATCTGCCTCTGATGTGTACCAACAGAATAAGACAGGACGCATTACTCTTGGAACAGCCCTTATACATGCTGTGTTAGCAAAAATTTCACCAGGATAATGAACGCTAAATTGCATTTAAATATCTCTTAAGAAAAAAGTAGTGTCTTCAAATTTGTGTAGCTTGGTCTAGATGTGGAAATCACTTTTCATGTATTTTCAGAAATTCCAGCCTTTCTGCTATTTTTGCAGATTTCAGTTTATACTATGCGTTTGAAATCTTGTTCTCTAGAACAATTTTTATGATTTTCAAATTGTACTGTTGGCATCCAAATGAACAATTTTTGATCAGTGTATTTAAAATATATATATATGCTCTCCTAAATGCTATTGATTTTAACAAATAATAAAAAAGGTTTAGGGCTTTTCAACCTCCATTGTCACATGTTTCACAGTGCAGAGAGAACTGCTGTGAGCCAGTGGTGTTAATTCTTAGTTTCATGTGTATCTGGGAAAAAAAATTAGAGATAAGACTTTCACAGAGGCATTCTCTAACTAATTATGTTTTGGCATGCAGTGAAAGAATGTGATATTCTTTCACAAGTGTTTCCTTTCAACTTAAATGTTGTGCAACTGGAACAGCAGTTCAAAGCCAGATGCAAAAATGAAGAAAATTTGAGGTTAAGTGCTTTTTATGTTTCTCTGTGTTCTTCTGTGGTCATTACTGAAAGCTCTGAATTAGCAGAAAAGAGTGACTCTGGAATTTTAGCATAGGAAAGGGAACACCTACAGCTGGCGTAGCGTTTCCTAAGAGTTTTGGAAAAGGGATAATAGAAATCAATAGAGGAGTTTAGATGTCCTCAGTTATATCAATTTTAATTACCTCTGGACAAAAGGCATTTCCTCTTCTAGCTCACTGCTTAGAGACTCTGGAAAGGGCTTTTGCTGACTCAAAAATATGACAATTCTTATTTTCCATTGTTTATGCTTACCTTCTTGTGGTAGTTGGCTATTCTTGTTCTTAACAAAATAACTTTCTTTTATTTCACTCACAAGAAGGAATTTATGAATTCTGCTGCAAGATGTACAAAGCAATTTCTGAATTGTGCAGTGAACACAGAATTTGATCACTGAACCTGTGGTCTCTGGCATTGTACAGTCTGCTTTAAGAAGGAGAGACAAGAAAGGCCATGAAGTGTCTGTGAGGTGAAAGGAGTAATATCAATCTGTGAATTAATTCTCATCACTGAAGCTTAGGGAGTCATGGCGATCATAGAATCATTTGAATTGGAAGGGACCTTTAAAAGTCATCTGGTTCAACTCTCCTGCAAGGAGCAGGGACATCTATAACTATATCAGGTTGCTCTTACCCCTGTCCAGCCTGACTTCGAGTATCTCCGGGGACAAAGCATCCACCACCTCTTTGGGCAACCTGTGCTGGTGCTTCACAACCTTTTTGCTTATATCCAGTCTAAATCTCCCCCCCTTTTAGTTTGAAACCATTTCCTTTTCCCTATCGCAACAGACCACCATAAAGAGTCTGTTATTTTTCTTCTAACCCCTCTTTAGATACTGAAAGCCTGCTCTCAGGTCTTCCCAGAGCCTTCTCCAGGCTGAGCAGTCTCAGCACTCTCAGCCTGTTCTCACACAGGGGACGTTCCAACCCCGGGCTCATTTTTGTGGCTTTTCTCTGGATGCACTCCTAACAGGTCCACATCTCTCCTGTACTGAGGACACCGCATTTAGACACAGTACTCCAGGTGAGGTCTCACTGTCAAAGTAGAGGGGCACGATCACCTTGCTTGACCTGCTGGCCGTGTTTTTTTTGATGTAGCCCAGGATACGGATGGCTTTCTGGACTGTCAGAGCACACAAGTGGCTCATGTCCAGCTTGCCATCTACCAGTACCCCCAAGTCCTTTTTGACAGGGCTGTGCTGCATTCTTATGTGCCCCAGCTTGTAGGGACAGTAGGGGTTTTCCACAACCCAGGTGCAAGATCTTGGCTTTGTTGAGCCTCATCAGGTTTACCTGGGCCCACTGCTTGACCCAGATTTTTGCTTTGACCCAGTTAGGGTATCCTACCCAGAATCTCCGTTTCCTGCTCTTGGCATGATGTCTAATTATATAAAGCTCTATACTCATTTTTTTTAGAACCTGAACTTGTAGGTGTATGGTGAAAAAGACTTTTGAGAAGCACAGTTACTAGTAGTGGTGGGACATGGATTAAGTTTTCAGGTCAATAAAAATTATAAGGAACTTTTCACTTTTCACTTCTCTAGGATATAGTACCTATCTGTTTGTTGGGTAGATGTACGTCAGTTCATAGAATTGGATTGGAAGGGACCTCAAAGCCCATCCGTTCCAACCCCCTGCCACGTGCCCCCAGCTAGATGAGGTTTCAGGGCCCCATCCAGCCTGGAGAGCATCTATGTGTTACATAAAGATATTTATAGTGCAAGAACTTAAATGTCATTCTGTCTTCTATTAGTGCTATGCATTATTTTTCAGTCAAATCCCTCAGCAACTGGAATAAAAGCAAGCTGGAGAAAAAGCAGCTGTATGAAGCCCTTAGGAATGTTTTCCTACCAAATTTATTAGTTGAATTTGCAAGTCTTGTAAAACAAGCAGCCGCTGCTTCCAGGAAAAAGGTATTAGCTACTGAGCTTTTTATCTACGTATAAATTTTCAGTTCAAGTGCGATTCACCTTGAGAATGGGTAAAATTTTTCATTTAATTATATTTATTTGAGGAATTCTCAGTGGCATTTATGGTGCCATCTGAGCTACTCAACCCTGGAGGCCTTTAAATTGAAAGGATCAGTAATATCACTCTAATAGTGCTTTAGCCAGTTCTCTCAGGAAAAGAACTAGGGAGTAATTCTGTCCTTAATGTCTTTTTAACTGTCACGTAGGTAATAAGACTTCAGAGTTGGTGCACTTCTTAGCAGTGTCCTGGCCTGGGAATGTGTCTCCTTCTCCTTTTACAGGATGGAAATCAGACACTAAATATCCTGATTACTCCCAGGTTGCAGAGGTCTTGCATAAAAGATGAACTTGTTTTACAGTGGTGTACAGTTACCTTAAGGTGTGCGTGTGTCATGATGAAGGGCTGAATGTGATAAGCCATAATAGCAAAAAACCTTTCTCTGAGCGAAAGTCTTGCTTTTCTCATGAGTGTCTAATAGTATCAGAGAGTGGAGAGGGCAGGTAATTATTATCTAGGGCTAGGAATGACATTTTCAGAGCATCCAGGTAAGCAACTACAAGGAAAGATAGAAAGGGGCCTTTATTTATTTATTTCTTAAGTGTTGCATTCACACAGGCAAATTTGGAACCTAGTGGGAATTTTACAAGTCAGCTAATGTTGCTGCTGCTGGTTAGGCAGCATCCTGATTTGACCCATGGGAATGTCTGATTGCAAATCTATACACTCCATTTGAAAATTTGTAGGTAATTTATTTATATCAACTAAAACAGAATTGCAAATATACAAAAAAATGCTTTTTTTTTTTTTTTTTCCCCAGCACTCTTGAAACCTATTCTCAAATTCCTTTATCAGAATGGAAGGCAGCACTGCATGTTTTTTGCTGTGCACAGGACTGCTTTTAGGCCATCTATCACAATGCATACGAATATTTGCTGTAACTTAAGTCAGCTGCATTGCAGCCCAAGCCCTCGTTTCAGTCTATATACACTTAATAGCTCACTGCTGTTTGGTTGGTGCTGAGCAATGGGTGCTCAGCTGCGGCTGTGCTGAGCCGCATGCAGCCTGTGGGCTGTGAGTTGGGCATGCCTGCTTTGGGCAATGTGATCAACAACGGTTGTTCTGCAGTTGTTGTAACTTTTGTGTACTGTAGGAAGATGCAAGATTTAGATGGAAATCTCTGGCATAGGAAAAAAGCAGCTAATCTGTTACTTTAGAGTTCCATTATTCAAGTTCTGCTAAGAGGAAAGGCAATAGCAAGTTAATGGGTAAGAGGATTTATTAGGTTTTTCCCTCCTGCAGAGGGAAAAGCTGTTGCTTATGCCACTATCAGTGATGTGATATCCACTGGATTCTTGTCTTTTCTGTTTTCTGAAACTGCAGAAGTTAGTGTCTGAATTGTGGTTATATACCAAACACATCACTTGATTTTCACAAGTAAAGTCACAAACACTTTATGGAGACCTTGACACAGGACCAGACAATTCTGTTTAAGGTGCATGGCAGAGTTGACATTTCTTACAGGAGTTTCAGAAGGGTTGCTGCCTCTTCTTTGGCTGTCAAGCAAACCTAAACCCCAGAAAACTCCCCAGATAAATATAAATGAATATTTCAGGGTTTGCTCTGCAAGCTTTATGAAAATAGAGTCATGAAAGACCTGCTTCTTGAAAAATTTGGCACAAGGAGGATATTTTGCATGCGCTTAATGTGCATCCCAGCATCTGTGGTGTGTGTTTATTTGAGGTGCATACCTGGGCACAGCATCTTGTGTTCATGCACCTTGGCATGGCCTGTGTGCTTTTCCTGTAGCTGAAATGTGTTTCCCATCTCTTTATCTCTGGTTCGTTATAGCGTGCATTACATGATGATCTGTAAAGACAGTTCTTCTTTCTAACATGTCCTGTGTGTGTTCATTTGACAACAGTACAAAGCATGTTTCTGAGAACAGTTGATGTGGTAAGAGTACTTAGGGCCTTGCTGTAAGGTATCCAGGTGAAGGTTGTAAGTTTTGAGTACAGTAAAGAGCAGTGATGCGTATCCTACTTTTGACTATGTCTTCTATCCAGACTAACTGCCTGTCAGATAATTTAGTATGTATTGGTGCAGTGACTTTGTCCCTTGTCATTATAAAAACATACACAAGTTGTTGCTGTTCTTCAGCTGAACTCATCAGTGGAGTGGTTTAGAGTAACTCTAACAGGAATCCTAAACTGGGAATATCAGCAGTGGAGATGGGAGGCAGAGGGGTCCAACATGCATTGCATTTGACATTAGGTCTGCAGGCACAGTAGTTGTGTGCTGTATAACAAATTGGGTGCAGCTGGAGCATTCTGTGCATGAATGTAGCCCATTGCGGTCAGGCCCGTGGCCGGCTGCATCCTTGCATTACTGTTTCTTCTAGGGACACACACTTCTGTAGTTCTGCATCTGTTCTTCAGTTTTAAGGTTTTCCTTCGTAGTCGTGTTCTAATTTTATTTTGTTTTGTGATATTTCTCTTGGCAGAATTACCAAAAAGCAGACCAAGACCATATGGGTTAGTGATTCCAATTAGTACCGATGCAGACGGAAGCTATATCTCCAATATACTCTCTGCAAGCCATCAAAGAAGATCAACACGGGAGGTATCCCAGAGCCCCAAACAGCTGTATTTTAATGTCACCGCGTTTGGAAGGGAATTCCATCTCCGACTGAAACCCAACACTCGTTTAGTGGCTCCTGAGGCAGTAGTGGAGTGGTACGAAGACTCTGTGGAAACTGGAAGTGAAAATGGTGCTGGTAACTCAAGTCAGACTAGAATTGCTACAGAGAGGTTGTGGAAAAGAGAGCCCCTGTGGACCAACTGTGCTTACGTGGGAGACATAACTGACATCCCTGGAGCTTCTGTTGCAATTAGCAATTGTGATGGTCTGGTAAGTTTTATTTAATGGCATTAATGTCTGGCGTTTTATCACTTTGTACACTTTGTTGCTTTTGACTATACGGTACTAATGATCTCACTTAAAAAAAATCTCCATTCATAAATTCCTTAGAAAATGCTTCAATATACATTTATGCATAGTTCTTTGATTTAAATGGGGATCATTCCTCCGAGTTTGATGAAAGTCCTTAATGTGAAACAGAGAGAAATCAAAACTGCTGTTTGTTGGTTTTCCTTGTTGCTTTCCTGAGATGGTGTTACAAATGGGAGAATTTATAATTAGGTTATTTCAGCACTTAAATGAGTGAGCATAGAATTTGGCACGGAAATTGTCACTCCTTTTGGGCATCAAATTTGCAGGGTGCCTTGTAGTCCAAAAATGGCAAAAGATATAAAATCTGAAGGATTTATTTAGAAGGTAGGCATCTTTTTTTTTTTAAGGTGTAGTTCTATTTTATCTGAAGCTCTCATGTGAGAGTTGACTGATTCACATCTATAAATGATTTGTTCTCAAAACCATGCCAGCCAGGTTGCTATGTTAGTTAAAAACGCGTGATATTTCATTGTGGCTTCAGCAGTTGCAATGACTGGCTTGGTACACAAATCCCATATTGAAAGACTGGGATATATTGAGTACACATACCATTCGTTAATTCAATCATGCGGTAAAGAAAGCTAACAATACTTACCTTGTGCTCTTTAAGTAGCAGGAGCAGTGGTGGAACATGGCTGCAACATTCAGGAAGATTAATGTAGTGGTTACTCTACTGCTATTCAGGGGAGGAATCATATGAACAAGTCTGCAACAAGAATCCCTTCTTGGAAATAGGTTTCCCTCTTCCTGTCACATGCCAGAGATGTTAATGATTTGATTCCATTTTGTGATAAGTGCTGGCTAGCAAACCTCCCAGCTTCTGCAGCACATAATTTATTTCAGGTAAAGCAGTCACTGTGTGGCTATCTGCATGAATGTCTGAAACTCCTCATTCAGTGCATAGGGCTGTGCACAACCGTAACTCCTTGACTTTCCTTACTAAAAGAAGGAAAACACTGGTGATGCTTACATCTTAGGTTATCAACTTCTGTAGTTTTTCTTCTTTTTTCCTTCTGTTTTTTTTAGTGGAATCTGTTGACAGTGTGCTGCGTTTACAGAGATCATGCAGACATCTGCTTGGATAGACAGAGCTTTGGATGTTACTTTGACAGTGAATGAGACTGTTGGGCTGAGAGCTGTGTTTTATCAGTAATCCTGAATGAAGTTCTTGCGTTAAGTGCCAGAGCACTTTAAGACAGTAAATTGGATTAAATGGAATTAGATTAAGGGGTACAGCAATATCGGCAGGCATTGCCATGTGGCTGACAAGCTGCTTGTGTTGTGTTTTCAGTTACTGAAGTGGTTTCTGTATTCTCAAACCTCTGCATATGTGAGAAGAAGCCAACAGGTGCCAGCAAGATCCTAAAGAATAGGAGGTTTCTGAGTTGTGCATCATATTGCTGCTGTTCTCTCAGAGTGCCCAGGAGAAGTCCCTTAGGTGCTTTCCGTGGTCTTAGGGGCTGAACTAGAGGAAAATGTGCTTTTTGTTTAAGGAGAAGAGCGGGTAAATGCTCCCGAGCCACTGTTGTTTCTGTTCATTTCAACACAAGCTGTCCTGTACGGTCTTTGAGGGGCTTCTTTAAGCCCCTGAGCCACCTACCACGTGGCAGGATTGGATGCACCATCAGAGCATATGTGTGGTGTGAAAGGGTGAGCTGTCTGACCCTCCTGCCAGTAGCAGGCCTTGGCAAACACTCTGGCCCCTGTGCTGCATTTTACACTGCTGCTGAGGGACTCGCAGGCTGGCGAAGAACTACAGCAGCAGCTTTACTGCTCCCTGTTTTGGGCAGCTGTAATGACAACAGCTCGTGCTGAAAAGCAGCTTTTTGGAGCGCTTCAGCTTGCTTACTTCACCTAGCTGTTGTAGTAGTCTTTAAGAGCTCTAAACGGATGAGTGTGAAATAAATAATCCTGAAGATTGATGGCATTTCAGTTGTTCTTTTCTCCCAACAGCTCTCAGCAGAAGTAGCTGTAAGTTAGCATTTCTGACTTCTCTGCTGTTGTACTGTGCTTCTTGCAACCAAACTAGAATACTTGATCCTCAGTGTATTCTAAGTATGTGAAGAGTGAGATGATACGGCTTAACAGAAACTGGAACAACAGTGAGAAATTCTAGGGCCATGTGTCTATTCAAAAGATTTATTTTTGACTTCAAAGAAACGTATGCACTTGCCAGTGTAGTCCCCCCAGGTTCGTACCTTTTGGGGAAATAGAAAAAGGAATCACTATGGTTACAATTCGCTCACTGTGTAGCTTATAAAGCAAGCTTGATATCATCAGTAACAGCAAAAAAATGCTTGGCTTCCACTGGTTGGCAGAAGCCCTCACAAATTTTAGTATGTGTGTGAGGAGATTTTAATTATGATTCTTAAGTCACCTGCTGATAGGTGGGCCAAATTATGTTTTGCATTAATCTTTACTTCATAAAGACTGCTGTATTTCATATTGTTCAGTGTTTGCTTTCAGTGCTTGGATGTATGAGGTTATGAGGAACACAGTGGTGCTGAATTTTGACTACTTCATTGTAAGTATACAGCACTATTGACATTTACACTAGTAGAGCAGGATTTTGTTCATTGTTTCTTCCTGAATCTGAACTTAGATTTAAAAAAACAAAATACTTAAACACTTTTGTTATGAAACAGTTTACATATCTACTTCTGCTGTAAAAGTCATCTGCATGCCATAAGTTTTGGAAATTCCTATCTTCCCATCTGTTTAATATCCCTTGAAAATAACTGTTTGTTACAAAGATCCCATGCGTGTGCATGCACTTGTCATAGCAAAAGAACACTTAATTCGTCATGTAGAAGCTGCCTGTTGTTTTCATTACTGTGTTTAAAAAAAAAATTGTAGCATTAGTGGGTGACAAATGCTAAGAAATGTGAGTGTCAGCTTATGATAATAATAAAATAAACCCTGTTTCATATTTTCCATATGTAAAACTCAGGATGAGTAGATTTGTAAAGTTAATTCTAACTTGGGCATTGTAAGGCAGTGCTGCATTTCAGAAAGCCAGTGTTTCCTTGGGTTTCTGTGCCATATCTCTCTGGTTACTTTCATCCCAATGGCAGCATTTATTGTCAAAATATTTATAGAGTTTGTCAAATACTTGACAGCATTACAGCAAAACTTGTAACAACAGAGTGCAGTCATCAAGCAAAATCATCCTTCGAGTCTAGATAGCATATGGGGAAGTCCTCACTTGTCTCTCATTTCAGGAGGTGTGGTTTGTAGTTCACTGCTGAATTTGGCTTTCTGGTAGTTATGGTTGATATTTACTGTAATTAATACTGTTCTCTTCTGTACGTTCATATTACTATGGCTTGCTCTGCTGTGGCAGCTTTGTGGAGTTAAGTTGGTGTTGGTGCTGGTGCAGTGCAGTGCTGCTGATCCAGCACTGGGAAGGGAAGAGTGCTGATGAAAGGAAAACCTTATTTTCTAGAAGGTTATCTTTGTGTCATTCTCTCATTCATGAGCTGAAAATAACATCCTTTAGGCCTGTGGACTTGGAAAACTGAAGCCTGTGATCTCTTGTCAGAGAAGGATAGAAGGAGTAAAGCTCTTGCTGACTTTTGTCTGCAGATAATGAAATGAGTTTACAAATAGCAGCCTAGATTTAAGTCCACTTTGCCTTTTCTTTATTTGGCTTTGGTTTTAGTAAATGTTCAGAAGTAGGATATGTTGCAGTGTTGGAGGAGCGTATCATTGTATGAACTTGATAAGATCAGAAAGAAGGCTCAGTTTAACCAGGCAGTGCTTGCACGGTGTGTGATCTTCCCTCACACGTTCACAGTTCTCCAGTTCTTGCATTCCCACTTCTTGTTCTGCTTCCTTTCTGCATTTCCTTCTTGCTCGTGCCTGTACAGCAGTGCTTCACCTCAGCACTCTTCAGCTGTTGATCTCATTAGGCACAGACTGACCAAAGGGAGTCAGCGTTACAAAGGGTTAGGGCAAGGGGTTAGGGCAAGCGTTCCTGCCTGAGCTGCACCGGCCTCTTCCCATTTATATCTGAGTAGCAATTTCCCTTCTGTTCTCCTTAGAAAGATTATGCAAGCAAACAGTAATGAAAAGCCTTATATTATAGAATCATAGAATATCCCCAGTTGGAGGGGACTCATAAAGATCATCAAGTTTAGCTTGTCAAATGGCGTTAATGGTGCCTTCTCTTTTGGATAACTATGGGAACAAGTTTTGTGCCTCATTGTACTAAATGAAATGTTTTGTCTAATTCATATACCTAACCAAGACAGCTGAACTTACTCTGCTTCCAGGTACATGTGTGATGGGCAGTATGTTAGTTTCTCACTTCTGTGGTTAAGTTTCCTGTTCCAAGACACCAAGATGCTACAGTAGGTTTAATGATTTTAAGGAGTTTACTGTTCAGAAATTACTGAAGCCTATCTGGCTTTGTAATTTTGTTACTAAAAAAGTAGATGTATATTTCTAGAGCAGCATATGGTTATAGAAAATTGGGAAAACAATTGCATGTTAAAGGAGGATGAAGTCAGTCAATTCAAAGCAGAGCTCATAGGAAGTGTTTTTCACAGATTGCTTGTGCCTTGTGCTGTTCCTGCTGTGAAGACACAGAGAGTGATTCACTTCAAACAAACATTGCAGGTGTTTCAGACTGTAAACAAAGAGAACACAGCAAACTTTACATTGGGAAATAACAAGGTAGAAGCTTTTGAATGAATCTCTGCTTTTGTTGTTAATAATTACTTTCCCAATTTTTTTCTCAAATTTTTCTGTGTTGCAAAAAAAAAAAAAAAAATAGTTTCTCATTTAGCTTTCTTCCTTCTGCAATAAAACCCAAACAGATGTTGGTATGTGATGCATTAGACTGTACTTACTATGGAGTCTGTCTCTGTAGACATACGTCTCCTTGTTTGAGTTGT